ATAAATCGATCCCCGAGAGGTCGATTTCTACCCGCCGATTCAGGCGGGTAGCGTAGACCCAGCCTTAGACTGGGTTGTTAGGATCTCATCAAAACCAATGGAATGTCAATGGAAAGACTCCCATAACTCCAATGGGCTTTGGAGCAGGCCAGGAGGCTGGAGAGGAAAAGTGCAGCAAATATAACGCTCGTTTTTTAATGATTCTCTGATCATTGTCAATGCACCATGTGGAGGTAGAGCTAGCTCCAGAGAGATTCAGTGGGGGGCCTTTCCAACCATTGTGGAACTACCATGAGAGATGGGCATTGCTCACTCACCTTTAACTCATCAATGTCAGTTTTGAGATCACTTATTTTTTGCTCTGCATCCCCGATGCTGCTGGTTTTGAAGCACTCCTTGTAGCAGTCAAGCTTTCTTTCCACATCACCAAGATCCTTCCCAGGAGAAAGGTCTTTGAGAAGCTCATCTTCCAGGAACTGCAGGATAGACTCACTAGCAGTCTTTTTGGACTTTCCTATCGATACAGAGCCAGACCGGGACTGACAGATATCATCAAATTGGGTCCACACTCCTAGTGAGAAACAAACATTTGCAAACCTTCAAATAAATGTTTGTAAACCTTCAAACTTCCAAAGGCGGCAGTTTGCGGGACTGAGCAGTCCACAATATGTCAGAGGGTTAATGGTTTCATTTTCCATTTGACAGTGCTGCTTGTGCCATTCAGTTAATAGAGTCTGAGGCCAGCAAGGCTCTTTGTGTCCATCCAGCCTCGTCTCTTGCCTAACCCAGGCCAGAGAATCTCCCACCAGTGATTCATAGAAATCATAGAAACACAGGACTGGAAGGAACCTCAAGAGGCCATCAAGTTCAGTCCCCTGCACTCCTGGCAGGACCAAGCACCATCTAGACCATCCCTGCCAGGTGTCTGTCAAATCTGCTCTTAAAAATCTCCAATGATGGAGATTCCACAACCTCCCTAGGCAATTTATTCCAGTGCTCAACCACCCGGACAGTTAGGAAGTTTTCCCTAATGTCCAACCTAAACCTCCTTTGCTGCAATTTAAGCCCATTGCTTCTTGTCCTATCAGCAGAGGTTAAGGAGAATAATTTTTCTCCCTCCTCCTTGTAACATCATTTTACATGCTTGATAACTATTATCATGTCCCCTCTCAGTCTTCTCTTTTCCAGACTAAACAAACCCAGTTGTTTCAACCTTCCCTCGTAGGTCATGTTTTTCTAGATCTTTAATCATTTTTGTTGCTCTTCTCTGGACTTTCTCCAATTTGTCCACATCTTTCCTGAAATGTGGTGCCCAGAACTGAACACAATACTACAGTTGAGGCCTAATCAGCGCAGAGTAGAGTGGAAGAATTACTTCTCGTGTCTTGCTTTCAACACTCCTGTTAATACATCCCAGAATGATGTTTGCTTTTTTTGCAACAGCATCACACTCCTGACTCATATTTAGCTTGTGGTCCACTATGACCCCTAGATCCCTTTCTGCAGTACTCCTTCCTAGGCCGTCATTTCCCATTCTGTATGTGTGCAACTGATTGTTCCTTCCTAAGTGGAGTACTTTGCCTTTGTCCTTATTGAATTTCATCCTATTTACCTCAGACCATTTCTCCAGTTTGTCCAGATTGTTTTGAATTATAATCATATATTCCAAAGCACTTGCAACCCTCCCAGCTTAGTATCATCTGCAAACTTTATAAGCATACTCTCTATGCCATTATCTAAATCATTGATGAAAACATTGAAAGAACTGGACCCAGAACTGATCCCTGCAGAACCCCACTCGTTATGCCCTTCCAGCATGACTGTGAACCATTGATAACTACTCTCTGGGAACGGTTTTCCAACCAGTTATGCACCCATCTTATAGTAGCTCCATCTAGGTTGTATTTCCCTCGTTTCTTAATGAGAAGGTCATGCAAGACTGTACCAAAAGCCTTACTAAAGTCTAGATATACCACATCTACCACTTCCCCCCTACCCACAAGGCTTGTTACCCTGTCAAGGAAAGTTGTTAGGTTGGTTTGACACGATTTGTTCTTGACAAATCCATGCTGACTATTGCTTATCACCTTATTATCTTCTAGATGGTTGCAAATGGATTCCTTAATTATTTGTTCCATTATCTTTCCTGGAAAGGAAGTTAACCTCACTGTAATTCCTGCATCTGTCCCACTAACTTGTGGCTGAGTTAGAGTGGAGCTTTGAGAAAGAGATGCCCCATCTCTACTGACAGACTCCTTGTGAGGGAGAATCCACCCTATCCCTAGGGGATCTGTTCCAGTGGTTCATTCCCCTCCCTGGTAAACAGAGGCCCCTTATTTCCAGCCTGAATTTGTCTCCCACCAGCTCCCAGCCATTGGCTCTCACTCTGCCTTTGTTTGTGAGATCAAACCACGCACTCCTCTCAGAAATCTCTTCCTCCCATAGGTGCTCGTAGACCAGGAACATGTCACCTCATAACCTTCTCTTGGATAAACAAAATAACATCAAGCTCCTGCAGTCTCTCACTCTAAAAGGCAAGTTTTCCCAGACCTTGAATTGTTCTCGTAGCTCTTCTCTGAGCCCTCACCAATTGGTCAAAGTCCTTTTGGAAGTGCAGACACCAGAACTGGACAGTGCGAATACCAGCTCTGGACTTGAGTCTAGAGGAGATGGCCAGGCCATAGTTCCATCTCCTTTCCATGTCCCAGCTGGCATTATCAGACTAACACAAAGGAAGGGATATGCTTCAGCTCATGAAGGTGTGTAGATTCATAGATTCCAAGGCTGAAAGGGACCACTGTGATCATCTAGTCTGAAATCCTGTATAACACAGGCCAGAGAACGTCCCTGAAATATTCCTAAACCTGTGACTTTTACAGCTTTTAGAAAAACCCCTTACACAAAGGATTGGGCATATTCCCCACATGCACCTGGGATGTCTGAGAGGTACGGTAGCTCCGCAAACAAAATATTTTCCCGATCCCTCCTAATTATGGGCTACATTTAAAAGGAACAGTATCATTCATTATTTCTTCCATTTTCATTCATTTTCTATGTGAAATTAGCTTGTCAACCACACAAAAACCTGCACTGATAATGTCCTATTTCCTTGATTTTTTAAAATTTTCATTGGAAAACCCAAACCTTGAAAACTGAACATTTATGACTGACACGCCCACATTTTTCAGATTTCAGCAAATAATATATGAAAAATCAAATTTGTCCTTAAAGCAAAAGACCCATTTTCCAACCAGTTCTAATTATTTATGTTGTAGAAGCACTTGACAGTTTCAGGCATGGACCAGGATCCCAGTTATTATAGTCCCCTGCCCCAAAGAGCTCACAGACTAAGTGACGCCCAGCAATGACCATGGAGATTCTGTGCTAGAACTCTCACTGCACACACTGGCAAGCTGCCCACATTTTCCATTTATCAGCCTGATTCTCATGCCGCTGTAAATCGGAAATGATTCCACTGAAGTCAATGACATTACAATTAGACTCACTTGTACTAATACTTGGAGAGTCTGCAAGGCTGCACCTTCCGTCATCATTTTCCACAGGGCTAAATGTGATTCTTACCTCCTGCTTTGATGGCCGATTCGGGCACAGCTAGAACTCGGTGGAACTCAGCCTTTTCATTTTTGTGGGCTGTTTTATAAATATGTTCTAATTGAATTGCTCTTGTACCACTGAAGATGTCAATAACCCCATATTTATAATAGATGGGTTGTCTGCTTTGTAGATCCAAAACAGGAATTGTTGCTTGGCCTACGACAAGGAACCCACAGTTATTCTCAAACCTAGGAAATTAAAACAAAACAGAAAAGTTGGCTGTTCATTTTAAATCATAAAGAGTTTATTTTAAATAAAATAAATAGTAAATATATTATATAATAGTAATTATTTAATTAATATAATCGATTATTTAATATGTAATATTAATTATTTAAATAATATTAAATAAAATAATATTTTAAATCAAATAAAATATATTTGTGTATTTTAAATGAAGAGTTTACTTTAAATCAAAGTCAATAGCAACCTCCCCTTGCCCTCAGTGGGATCATGATCAAACTCAAATAAGGCCCCAGTTCTGCAATGAGGTCAGGGCGACAAGACCAGAGTTACCAGCACTCAGAATGTTACTGCAAACTGAGAATCTCAGCTCTCATTAAACCAAAAAGTAGATTCTAGCCCTCATGACTGCAGAGAAAAGCTTGAAAATGTGACTGAGAGCCCAGTAAAGGCTCAGGAACCAGAAGATAAATAAAATGAACCCATGGTATTTATTGTGTAAAAATCTCACAAGTTTTAAGCTAATCTCATGATTTTCGAGTCCTTTCTCATTATTTATTAGCTGAGAACCTCCGCTTTCTTTTCTTTCTTTTTTTAAAGTAAGTTGCTAGCCCTCACAGTTACTGAGAAAAGCTTGACAATGCTGATGCTAAATGCCCTGGCACCAGAAGCCAACAGAAAGAAACTCCAGATTTAACATGTTTTTACATCTCATGACTTTTAAGCCAATTTTAAGATTTTGTGGGGCCTTGGAGGAACAATGGCTTTTAGTTGAGTTGGGATATTAGCATAAGCAATGGGCCCGAAGTATGTGACAAAAAACGAGATCACGAGAAAGAAGAGTCATCACATAAAACTTCCAGCTGACTCTTTAAAATGCCATTGTTATCTTATTTAAGGTTTGGGCTGAAGTCAGAGAAATAAAACAGTTAATTGAGTACCAGGTGCAATAAATAACTGGCTACATGCGTTTGTTTTATGTATTATTTAAAAAACTGCTTCATCTGGCCTTAGCTAAGGTCGGCTAATGGCCAATGACATCACATGTTTGTCACAGGGTATAAAAAAGTAAATTCTTGAAGGGCTTGTTGCTAACACGTGCCTGACCAAGCTGGAGCTGACCAATATGGGGCTAAGCACCCCTGGGTTTAGCCCATTTGTAAATATCTTGATCAAATGCTTATAAATGTTTCATTAGTATTTGGCTATAGTACATTTCCTATTATTTAGGCTTTTAAGGCATGTTTAGAGGAACCGTATAGGTACCATTTGGTATTTGGATTGAATAAAGGAATTTATGGTTCAATTAGTATCGTGGTAACACACTGCATATATAACAATTCCAACAGGCCTGTATTCATGATTCTTTAAAGCCTGGTGATGGCGATATTGCAAGATTGCTGCTGCTATTTCTTTCTTGTGTGGTCTCCCTCTCACATTGGAGGTGGATGTTTGGCACTTCTGCCAAAACCTTCCTTATCAACCGTGTGCAATTGGACAAGAGATATAGTGCTTAGGGGTCAAGCTGTTAAAAGTAACCCTCACAGATTCGCAAAAAGAACAGGAGTACTTGTGGCACCTTAGAGACTAACAAATTTATTTCAGCCTAAGCTTTCGTGGGCTACAGCTCACTTCTTCGGATGCATAGAATGGAACACACAGACCGAAGATATTTATACATACAGAGAACATGAAAAGTTGATATGCGTACTTCCACCTTTTCATGTTCTCTGTATGTATAAATATCTTCTGTCTGTGTGTTCCATTCTATGCATCTGAAGAAGTGAGCTGTAGCCCATGAAAGCTTATGCTGAAATAAATGTGTTAGTCTCTAAGGTGCCACAAGTACTCCTGTTCTTTTTGCGGATACAGACTAACACGGCTGTTACTTTGAAACCACACAGATTCGTAGATGTCAGAGCATTGTGCCCATCAGCCTGGCTTCCTGCTTAACCCAGACCAGAGAATCTCACCCAGCGATTCCTGCATCCAGCCCAAAAACTTTTGGGTGAGCTGAAGTGAAGCTTTGAGAAAGAGATGCCCAGTGATGGAGAATCTACCTCACCCCTACGTAATTGCATTAATTTCCCTCAAAACATCATATTTCCTGGATTCTGCCTTTCCCACCGGGTTTGACATGTCACCTTGATTAACCACCTAGGCCAAAGTTGTCAGACACGGCCACTGATTACAAGTGCTTCAGTTTGGGGGGAAGCAGAGCTGACTTCAGGCAGTTTGGGCCTGATTTACAGGGCAGGGTACGATCCCCTGCAGCCCCCACTGACGGTAATTAGGGGTAATGTGGGTGTGCGGCACCTCTGAATATCAGGGCCTACGGGCCTCAGACTAAGCCCACCCCACAGCAACTGAGGCACTCGCGCTCCAGAGCCATCTTGGAAAATGTTGGCTTCAGATCAGTGGATTATATAGAGGCCAAATCTTCAGCCCCCATCTTCTTCCTGCTGTATAACCCACTGCTGAACGAGTGTTAGAGTCCCCTCTGTGCCAATCCACACAGGAAATGAGACTGCTGCAGCCCCCGGCTAGGAGGTGTTAATTCAAGCTGTAGCAGCATGGGCTTTTCATTCCGGAGGTTCCCTGGTTCAATCCCAGTGTGTTGGCTCTTACACTCCTCCCATGGCGCACAGGAGTTGGATACACCTCTACCCCTGCTGCGGGGATATAGCTAGCTGTCATAACTGGCTCTGTGCCACTCCATTTTGACTCCTGGACCTACCCGTAGTGGACATAAAAGGGGGTATGGCAGGTCATTTTGCTCCAGCAATCCCAGGCTGGTTGTTCCAGTCCACACAAGTTAGAGCTGCCCTAAATTATGCCAGGGGCCAAGCCACCGCAGGACTGCTCCTAGGAGTGGGGGAACAGAGAGGTGACAGTTGCCAATGTCTCCCCCCACAGGGGTGCCAAATGGAGCAGTGGTGGTGGACATTTGATTCTGCCCTTGGATTTCACCATGGCTGCCCCTCCTGAGTAATGGAGTAACATTCCCAGTGCAAGTTGGTTTCTACAGGCCAGTGGTGACTTTACCTGTGGGATTTCCCCACCTGCTGCCTGAAATGTGTCTCATTATCATATTCTTTCCCCCACCAAGAAAGAGCAAATGACCCGTCAGTGTAATTCAACTCAGGCATCGTTTTACCTTTTATTCATCCTAGCAATTTCTTGGTATCTCCTGGGACTATTGTAGGCTGCAACAACAATCTTGCCGAACCGTTCCTCAAACACAAAATTTTTAGACCATACGACAACAAACTCCACAGTCATCGTGTCCTCCATTGCGCATCTCTTGTTTGGAAAATATGGAGTCTCCAATAAAATGCTAGAAAAAAATGAAAACGGCATAAGATCATCTCTGTGCCTTCTTCCACGCAGCCCCCCAGGCATGAAAATCCTCAGCATCTAGACCCCTCCCCTCTCCCCAACTCTGCCCAAAAGAGAGGAGAGATGATTTGGAGTTAAGACAGGGAAGTGGGACTTAGGGGATCTGGGTTCAGATCTTGCATAACTTTAGGCAAGAGATTCCATCTGCCCCTGCCCTCCCTTACCCCCTTAGCTTTCTTAGTAATCACCTCCAAACAAAACCTACCCCAAACAAAAACACGTGGCACTAACGTGACATTTGCCAACTATCTCTCTGCTGTACGTTGCATCCCAACTCATCCCCTGTCCTATCTACTTAAATTACGAGCCCTTTGGGGCAGGGCCTGTCTCTATCTGTGTAACACAAAGGAGCCCAACTTTGGTTGGTCCCTACGTACTACTGTAGTAAATAATAATACCCTGTGGCTCAGTTCCCCATCTGGGAGAATAAACCTTCCTCCGTATATGTATTTTATATACTTTCACCGTGCCCCTCTTCCAGGTCTCCTTTCTAAGGTAAGGAACCTGTCTTCTGTTTTCTTCTGAAAGTGCAAAGCAGGTGGAAAAGGACAGCAGATGGGCATGGGAGCATGTCCTACCTATTCTGCACTCAGTGTACACAGCGGTAAATGAATACACAAGGGGTAAGGTCATGGACAATCAGGCCCAGAAGCTCTACTTTAACTCAAAAAGGGAATATAGCTTAACTGCAGATTGGCTCTTGGTGCCCCCATAACATTTCTGTGGGTTACATCAAAGCTCTCCTACACATGCTACCAGAACTATTCAAAGGTTTAAGGACAGAGAATGCATCCAGCCTGGCCCATGTAATCTCCCCCAGCGATTCCTGCCTCTAGCCCAAAAACTCCTGCCTGAGCTGGAGTGGAGATGTCCCATTTCCATTGACCCACTCCCAGGAATGGAGAAGCCACCCCACCCCTCAGGGAGCCATTGCAAGGGTTAATTCCTCTCCTTGTTGAACACTGGCTCCTTACTGCCAGTCTGAATTTGTCTCCCTTCAGCTCCCAGCCAGTGGGTCTGGCTCTGCCTTTGTCTGGAGGTTAAAGAGCCCTCTGCTCTCAGCCATCCCCTCCCCGTGTCAGTGCTTATGGACCAGGATCACATCCCCTCTTACCCTTCTTAACTGAATGGATTGAGCTGCTTCAGTCCCTTGCTCTAAGGCAGGTTTTCCAGATACTGAATTGTTTTTGTAGCTCTTCTCTGAACCCTTAACAATTTGGCAACATCCTGTTTGAGATGTGGACACCACAACTGGACACAGGATCCAGTAATAGTTTCACCAAAGCCGTACACAGAGGTGAAGCCCCCTCCTGCTCCTATTCCATATTCTTTCACAAATGACTCTCAATTTTATTATTATGAGTGAACATTTATGTTACGCAAAAAGAACAGGAGTACTTGTGGCACCTGAGAGACTAACAAATTTATTTGAGCATAAGCTTTCGTGGACTACAGCCCACTTCATCGGATTTATAGAATGTAACAAATAGTGAGGAGATATATATACACACACACACACACAGAGAACATGAAAAGGTGGGAGTTGCCCTACCAACTCTAAGAGGCTAATTAATTAAGATGAGCTATTATCAGCAGGAG